CTTCCCATTTCTCTATCTTTCATGTCATACATTCTCCTCTTTTGCAATCTCTCTTCTTATTAATTTCCTTCCTATTTCATGTTTTTCTGCTCTCATAATTCTCCCCTCCTTATTTGTACTCTCTAAAACATCTCTTCCTCCACGTTCGTTTGTCTCCTTCTTTCCAGCTTCCCAATCTTAAAAAAAGAAACACAAACAAGATATTTTCTGTTGCAATGTATGTATATTCATTAAAAACAAGTATAATAGAATTATTATGAAGTAGCACGACTTGCTAATGTCAAAGTATAGATTTTTATAAAATTCATAAAAAAAAGTGCCTAAAACGACCAAAATTCACTGTCGGCCCCTCCCCCCCCCCCCCCCCCGAAAAAAAATCATATCTTTGTAGGGAAGACGGGAGTCATTGTACCCCTATCCCTGCCCATTTTTTTTACCTCGAAATTATTTTGATACAATTTTTGGGGCTGAATTTGTTTTAAACGCATATCCCCCACCCTCACTGAGAGCTCTTTCTGCCAACCTGATTCCACGCCTACCCCCCCCCCCCCCCCCCCCTACTGAGAGCACTATCGGCCAGTCAGATATTGACCAAAAACAAAATAGGCTCACATTAATTTTTAGCACTTGGGCCCCTCCACTTTGAAAAACACTCTGTTGGCCCTAGAGTATTTAAATGAAAAGCAGTTTCGGAAGATGGTTCATCAAAATGATTATCTAGTGGTCATATCACTTGACTGGGGATGCAAACTTATGTCTTTTGGCAATTTCATCTTCAATTGCTTCACCGCACCCAGGTGTTAATGGGTAATGTTAGCATTGCCATGGAATTTAATCTTATGAACAGGCTAATATTACATTGTGAAGCGCTTTGAGCAGGTTAATACTTGGTATAGCGCTTTATAAAAGTAAATTATTGTTATCATTATTATTATTTTTTACAAAATGGGGGCTATGGCCACTTCCCAAAAACCAATCAAAAGAAGAAAAAACAGGAATTCCAATATGTTTGGCGTAAATCCTTGATATGACTTAGCACTTCCATTCCTATCCTGATCATCACCTCCTGATCTATCCACAATCAGGAACAACACCTTTGATGGCAAGGATGTGCTGTATAAAAAGAAAATGAAGCAGCAAAAAATGAATGAATGAAAAATGAAAAACTCTGTGTAGCAACCTTATCTGGGATTCCATGACATTTGCTTCGGCAACAGTTGCTCCCTATAAATTCCATGATACACTAATTGAATGATGAACTTCAACCATGGACTCGACACTTTACAAAACCTAAATCCTAACACTAAACCTAACATTGAAACCCTAACCCTAACCCTATAGCTTAGAAGAAATAAAGCCCGGATCAATTGTCGGCGGAGCAAGTGTCGTATCACTGTAATCAGGATATTCATTCATAATCAATAAGCAGATACACCCAGCAGGTCACAGAAGAAATGAGATCCTTCATGGCAAAGATGTAAATGTAAATCTGAATCAACTTAGCATGGGCATCAATCGGAATATGTTTGTGAAATAGATTGACATCTTCCCCCAACCCCTCCCACCCCTACCTAGCATGGTTACATCGACATACCGGTAAAGAAAGCACACACACACAAAAAAGGAGGATATCCCCCCCCCCCCCCCTAAATAAGGAGACTTTAAATATTTAAAAAAAAAAAAAATCATCCCCTTCCCCACCCCCCCCCCCCCCCCCATCTGATGTCCATGCGACTATTTTTCAGCCTGATGACACCCTTTACTGTCCCCATAGTCCATATATTTTTATTTTTATTTTGTGTTTGTCTTCAAATAAAAAAGGTTCATACATGTACATATGAAGAAATTTGCTTACTTTTACAACATGTTGACATCACCATTCTCGGACAATCCAGAGGATAGTACCGGTACTGATAATTTTGTCTGTAGGCAAAACAAAATGAAAAGTCAATTCAATACATGATATAAAATGATTATCCCTAAAATGTTGCTCCCTGCTAGTAATTTTATACATTATGGTTCGTGACAGGACAAGTAAAATCCAGGAATCTGCCTTTTTCAGGAGAAGTAATAGTTCTTCACCAAACGTGATGCATGAAACACAGCATAACTCGAACATTTTAAATGGGGGGCGGGAGAGGTGACACTAAAATTTAACCACAAATTCACCGCATTAACCAACCCCTTTTAGGTCCGATTTTCGGAAGTGATTTTAAGTCATTAATTTTCGTCGTAATGTAGGGATTACGATCACATGACATAGTCTAGTACTGCATTAGTGGTTATTTTTGGAAATTTCGCAAGTCAGACCTCACAATTTCCATTCCAATATGATGGCTATTTATAGTAATGAAAACATTACAAAAATTGAGAAATTACATGTAAGCTTATATGCGATTTCCCCACCTTGTCCCAAATCGCAAAAATATTTGTAAGCAAAACTATTGTCTTATGTTCAGCATCATTTTATAGAAAGGTTAAATTAAATAATTCACTGCTCTGGTATAGCGCCTTTATTTGTTGCCCTGAAATCTATTATGTAATTCCACATTTATCGATAATTTATCGAACCTGAACAGAAAATTTTCATCCCCCCCCCCCCTCCGGTTTTTTTCTCTCCAAATTTTAAAATATTTAACAAAAATTAATGTGACTAGAGCTGTAGCAAGTTCCCCAGAATGTCAGGAATGTGACATTTTATCACAAACCCTTAATGGACGCCTCAAGGCTCAATTAATATTAATCACAGAACCCCCTCCATTCACGCAGGATTATCAGTAGACTTCTATACCCTTCCATCTACCCGGTGGTCAGGGCCACCTGTACAGGCCGTTAAATTAAATTGGTTTAGTCTAGACCCTAATTTGTTAATCAAATTTTGTGCAATTTCTTTTGTGCTTTTTTTTTTTAAATTCACTTCTGTCACATATGTATTGGTCACAGTCAATGTCAATGTCAATGACAATTACACACATTTACTGCTGCCAATTTATTTTATATTAGACTCTAGACTGTAGACCCTACGTTTTTTTTTACGCCAGTAACTAACGGTTAGCTTGTTTGAAATTGGGGCTATGAAATTGGTTGGATCTATTTTTATATAAATTTGCTCATATGTTGCGGATACTATTTCACATTAATTTATTTTTACCCTTTCGGGTAGAATAAGTAAAGTTATAACGCCTACCGCTACCTACCCAAGAACGAATAATTCGTACACAGCCCCAGGCCAGCCAGCTCGGCTCGCAGCCCGGCGCGGCCAGGGCAGGCCAACCACAGCATGCACAGCACAGTCAAACAGGATTTCAGCACAACTCACTCAGTCACAGCTCAGTAACAGCTCAGAGTCAGACACGATGAAAAGTAGCAGCTAACAGTTCATTTACCCAGAGTCTAGTGAGACACTAGATCCCCAAAGAAATATCCAATGTACGGCCGACCGAACCAGTCCTGGATAATTATGTAGTGCGGATATTTCCCCCTTTGTTTTTTAGGAATTAGCGCCGGCCGACCCAAATCTCAATGTTTTACAGGCGATGATGGCGTAGCTAGCTCAGTCAATCTCGATCTCTGGCTCAGTACAGTACATGAATCGATCATAAATGTCATGCAACGCAGGTTAGCCGAAAACTTCAGCAAGATACTACTCCAAATCGTTGGGCGATTTTAGAGCGGACTTTTGGCGAGAAATGAATATACGAACGTAACTGTCTCGTGATAAACGCATGATGGCGTCGGTCACTTTAGGCTTTTGATTCACGATCTTTCGATCTTTCGCAATGAATTTTATTTTTGAAACCTCATCTATTTTCTCTTTTTTTGGATAGTGAACGAGTTCGATTTTCTCTCATATTTTCAGACATCGTTAATTTGATATTTAGCGAGAGGATTCAATACAAATTAATTGGATTTGAGGTGATTTTACATTGTTAACCAATGCCTTTAACTTATTTATCTTTCCCCCCTCTCATTCTGACTTGATTCTATATAATTGTAATCAATAAAATCGGAAAGAATAAAGAGGAACAGACAAAGTTGTTAGCCTTTTTGTAAAGGCGGGACAGCTCTATTTGCAAGTATCTTTTGGATAAAAATGCTTGGATACTCTATTTTCTAGCTTTGCACTTTATTATTTGAACATTGCTCTTCTAATTAGGCTTTTAAAATAGCTGTATGTAATATGATGGATGCAGGCACCCCGACATTGCAGCAACGAATACAATAAAATAAGAGGTTTATTCAGTTTATGTTACAATATTATAATGTCATGATTTAACCTCGCAAATATACATGTATCTTCGACTGATTGACTTTTCCAAAATAGATGTATTTCCTTTTAGCATGCAACCCGACATAGCAGCAATGCATGAAGAAAAGTGTGTCTATTAAATAGTTCAAATAGCCAATGGCTGGCTGCATGTTTAGCATTAGTATTGGTTACATAACTTTCGAAAGAACCGTGAATACATGTTTCTCTCTCTCTCTCTCTCTCTCTCTCTCTCTCTCTCTCTCTCTCTCTCTCTTTCTCTCAATTAGGACTTGTGAATTACTGTCTCTTTCGCAAATGTCATCATCTTTATGTTTATTTTCTCTGCGTGTCTATGTCTCTCTCTCTATCTCTCTCTCTCGCTTATACTCTCGCTTACTCTGCCTCTTTCTCTCACTCTCTGTCTGTTTGTCTGTCTCTCCTAGTGCATGTTAGTCGGTCTGTCTCTCTCTCTCTCTCTCTCTCTCCCACCCACCCTACATCCACCTCTCACCCACGCCCCCTCTCACACTCTCTCTCTCTCTCCCCCTCTCTCTCTTTCTCTCCTCCCTCTATTTCTCTATCTCTCTCCCTCTCTCTTTTTCTTTTTTTTTTATACATGTACTATACTTATATAGAGTTAGGGTTAGGGTTAGGGATAAATTTAACTTTCATCTTTGGGTGCATGCATGTCTCTGAACGAATGAGTCAGGTGCATCCAAAGACAAAGTTCGAGATCATTCTACTCGAATGACACGCGCCCTCTGTTGTTGCAAATTAAATATTTCCTCGTGGTGAAGAAAAGGAACAGTGAATTCGCCCGTAACACACCCTAATCCTTCAAAATGGTACGTAATTTCACTTTTAATCATGATTGTCATTTAATTTGAACCTTTTTCTGAAATGAGAAATGTATTGGATTGTATGAGTGAGCGCCGTATATCAATTTTGAATACATGACAAGTAAGGTAGTCGAATTGCCTGGCAACCACAAAACCCTTCGGTCCCATCTATTGATTTCTGTGCATTTTTCTCTTTTGAGTGTTGTGTTGAAAATGGCGGTTTAATTTTTTTCGGTGAACACCCACAGTAAAAGTGTTAAGAACTACTAGGCTCAGGGCAAGGGTTTAGATCAGTTTTATCCTGTCCTGCAATTTTTTATCATATCTAGACCTACTTCCAACAACATAGAATTTTTAAGGTCTTTATTTTACGATTTTTCTTGCTGATTCTTGAAAATCATGACAAGTTTGAACAACAATAAAAATACCAAAACGTGACTTGAATTTGAGTCGAATTAGTTCCTGCCCATCTCATCGCTCCTGCGCCTGCCCGACCATTTCACCACTCCTACAGTTAGGGTGTCTGATTGCGCACCCGATCAGTATCTGAGAATAAGGATCGTCTTCATAAACGAAGATCGTCATTGTATAAATTGTAAACGCGGACCAATGCGTCCTCAAAAAGGATTGTCTGCAAAAAGCAGATGTTCCATATTTTTGATTGGCACATTGGCGATGCTAAAAACGGATTCCGGGATGATTTTCTTGATGCTTTTTTACATTGACTTTGTACAGAGACCTTCACATTATGAGCAATAGATCTAAATCCTTGGGAAGACGGACAACCCATAAAAGTAGACGATCAACTAGGGCTATTTTCCCCTGGGGAATCCAAATTTGGCACAACCAGCGGGTGATTTGGTGAACCGAAACCTGCAGAGCGCCATAGAAAAAAAATGTCCGCGAAAATGCAGACGATCCTTGTTTATGAGGACGCATTTTGTCCCTGTTTTTGAGGATGTTCCTCATTCTCGGACCAGCGCCCCTACTGCCGATGTTGTGTGCTAAAAATTTTAGGGTGTCTGAACGATTTTTCAATTTGGGATCGTTTTTCACCATTTTTGTTTCATATTTCAATAGAAAATGTAATCAGAATAATGTTTCTATCAAAAGATACAGCTCCTCCAAAACTCTGAAATATTCATAGCATTTTGGCCAGAATCGACGAAAAAGACGTACACGCAGAGTTATGTTGTTTTGCTAAATTTAGCCAAACAGCTCTATCGCGCAATATGCATGCGTATGCATATCGCATGCATGTTGCTAAGCTGAATGCGCAACTGGAGCACATTGTCTACAACGTGCGTCCACTTTCTGGTTTGAGCGCAATCTGCAAACCATACCTCCATTTAACCCTGTAAGCTGGGGCTTTGAAGTTTGATGGGATCGGAAGATCGGAGCGACACCCTCGCACCTGTGATCGGTATCGGCATCGGCAAAAATGATCAGCAATTTTTTATTTTTTTATATTTTTTTAATCCCGGAAATTTTAAGTTTTTGGGTTATCAAATGCCTTAAAAAATGCATAGCTGGGATTATTTTGTCATTTGAAGTTGTTGTAGACCATGTTTGTTGATATTTAGTGCCTTTTCCTGACTTTGAAATAAATAATATTGGTCTAAGAAAAGAGGCAAAACATGCGGGCCGCCATTTTGGATTATATTGCATGCCTACATTTTAATTAGAGTTTATCATAATTTACAACACATTTGATTACAATGTCTTGTGTCTGTTAGTTTAGGTGTCACTTAAACCAGTTCAGATTCTCAAGGCTAATGAATCTTCCTAATGATGGAATAATGATGTCGATTTTAATTACAGTTTTATCATAATTTATTATCATGTTATTACAATGTCTTATGTCCTTTGGTTTAGGTGTCACTTCAACCAGTTCAGATTCTCAAGCAGAATGCAGAGGAGGAGAAAGCCGAGATGGCTCGTATGTCGTCTTTCATCGGTGCTATCGCCATTGGAGACCTGATCAAGAGCACCCTGGGACCTAAAGGAATGGTAAGGACAAGACCTGTGTTTGATTTTTAAAGCCCCACTGCACTACTTATAGCTACTTGCGCCCTCTATATAGCAAATAATGCCTAATCGGGGCCTGTTGGTCCCCCATGATCCTCTTTTTCTTATGTTAACACACTAGTTTACGGTTACATCAGTGCACATGCGCAGACAGGCTGACCTCAGGTCATTGGCTTTGAAACAAAGCCAATGACCTGAGGTCAGTGGTATTCATGCGTAAATTAAGATTGCGCCCATGCAAATGATGATGTGCGCGCAGGCAGTGATTAAATCATAATTTGCAAGGGCGCAATCTTAATTTACGCATAAATCCATGACCTCTAGGTCATTGGCTTTGTTTACTCGCCAATTAAAATGGCGCCCCTAACTGTAAACTGGTGTATTGAGAGCTGATTTGATGAGATAACCACCTGTCAGTGACCTTGCAGGGAGGTCTAATCCCCCCTGCCCAAACCAGTACAGACAGGCTTTAAATGTCCTAGAACCAGTGTGAAAGCATGCCATGGATAACACTTCAATAAACTCTTTCATCTCCTCTGTATCTCCTCAAGGACAAGATCTTACAGAGCAACAGCCCCAATGCACCGCTGATTGTCACCAATGATGGAGCCACCATTTTGAAATCCATCGGAATAGATAATCCAGCTGCTAAGATCCTTGTTGGTAAGTCCAAAAGTGTTTTTTTGTGATTTTAATTTATTTCCAATTTATTTCCAGCCTGTTCAATGTAATGTACATGTAAAGACGAATGTTATATTTTCTCCCTTTTTCTACATTGTACAAAACTTGAATAATGCCTCTAAACCTACCTATTCAGCAAATATGTACATGTAAGCGCCGACATCACTAGAGGAGCCTGCACGTATATATATTTTAAAAAATACCAGGGATATGGTGCCTTATCTATGCTGTGAATCCTCCTCTTCCTCATCATCATCTTAAAGGGATTGGGAAATTTTAAAATTTGTTTTCCTAACAGCAAAAGTAGTATGGTAAACTGGTCACTCAAAGATTTTTTACTTTTGTGAGACTTTTCATGATCATTTTGAAGCGCAATTTTGTTAGGGCTTTAGTATTACACCATATCACAGACACTGATAACACGTAGGGTCATGCACCTCAGATTTAACCATTTACCCTCCAGACATGAAATGAGGGAGTATCAGGAATTTGGAAATACATGTAGAGACCCAGTTACCAATTTGTATCCCTTTCATTTCAAACAGGCATGGTTTAGTTTTAAAATTATAAACAGATGATGCAGAAGTATAATGTAGAATTTGGAAGTAGCAATCCACATTGTTACCAGCTAACTCTTCCAAAAATGCATGGATTATTTTGAAATTATAAACTGGCACTGACAGTAAAATTAATTTCTGTCTTATATTCCTCTGTGAAATAATAAAATATGGTACTCTATTTATCCTCATCTTTTCTACTCAGATATCAGTAAGGTGCAGGATGATGAAGTTGGAGATGGAACCACCTCGGTCACAGTATTCGCCTGCGAACTCCTCAAAGTAAGTCATCTCAAATTTGAAGCCCTTTGTAATGTTTAAATCACACATCCACCCTAGTAATGTGCTTTCATCATTGGCCCATCAATTTCTTGAAGTGCCTCGTTGTTTTAGCTAAGGCATAATCCGGTTTTTGTTGAATTGAATTGAATTTATTCACCACTTTCATAAAATATACAAAGTCAAAGAATACTATAACAACTTGCTTAATTGTTTACATTCCAATCTGATTTGACAGGAAGCAGAGAAGTTGGTTGGTCAGAAGCTTCACCCTCACACAATCATCGCTGGCTGGAGGAAGGCTATCGATGTCGCTGTAGAAGCACTCACTAATGCTTCTGAAGACCACAGGTAAGAACTGTAAAGAGTTGTTGTTGTTGGTAATAGTTTAATGGCATTCATTCAGTATTGATTATATACGGCATATCTTTTTGTATAAGAAATATCAGTTATCCGTAAAGAAAACTGAAACAAATATATTTGTAATGATATAATTAATTAACCAGTATTGCAATTTATTAGAGGATGTCCCTCAGTTAGGATGTAAAGCCCTTTGTTGCATCTGCATGACCTTTATTGTATGCACACATTGTGCTAATAACTTTCATTTGACCTAGAAGGTCGGACATGTTTAAAGGCATCGTTTAACTATGTTCGATCTGAAATGCATGGCTATCGATGTAGCTGTAGCCGCACTCACTCAGGCTTCTGAAGACTACAGGTAAGAACTGTGAAGGTGATGTCCCTCAGATAGGATGTAAAGCTCTTTGTTACATTACAATGACTTTGATTGCATGTGCATCTTGATAACTTACAATTTGACCTGGAAGGTCGGCCATGTTTCAACGAGAATTTAATATACAAATGATGCATGCGCATGAGTTCATTATACGATCTATCCGCACTCGAGTTGAGGCTGTGTGTATCTATTGTACGAAGCCGTCAGTCTGAGTGCGATAGATACACACAGCATCAACGAGGGCGGATAGATCGTATAATGACCGAATGAAAACATGCATCATTTGTTTTATACAATGAAATTCCTAGATCCTTGTTATTTGATGTAAAAAGAATTCATTCAAGATTGTTTTGTGACAGTAGATGGCTGACAAATAAATCTCAAGTTTAATAAGTATTAATTTTAGTGCGCACACATAGACAAAGCAAGCGCACTTACCTCGATACCCATTTATGCATAGTGCTGAAGAATAGGCCCATGTACGCGCAATATTAAGCACTCTAACCTCTACGCTCACTACTGCGCACTGAAAAAGCGGGCAATAGTACTGGAAACTATCGCACCCTTTTTCATGAAAAAACGTGCAATGGGCTTAGTAAATGTGATCACACGTGACCGCGCATGACCAATCATTTGATTAGGATCTGGGGGTGAGTTGTATAAAAGCAAATAGCGGACCTCCCATTACTTATTGCACAGGAAAATTCCTTTGGTGCTCATATTTTGCATCAAGCATAACCAGGAGAAAAATGTACGTTTATCATTCACCTTTTCTTTTTGCAACAAAAGCATGATATCATTACTGAGAATATATAAGATTGCCATCAATAATGCAAGATATTTATGCAATGCCTTATTTTTCAGGCAGAAGGGCATGATGTAAAAGGGGTCGAGTCATAGGCTAATTTATTTGTGCCTTTTTTTGTGAGACTTGATTTCATCTTCAAGTTCTAATATCATACTATCTCTCTACTCTCTCCACAGTGACGATGCTGAGAGATTCAAGGCTGACTTGATGAAGATTGCCTACACCACACTGAGCTCAAAGATCGTCTGCCAAGACCGAGATAAGTTCTCTGCTCTCTGTGTTGATGCAATTTTAAGATTGAAGGTAAGCACCATTTTTATTTATCATTAGAGGGTGTTCGCAAAGACAACGGGAGAATTACGGGGATCCAGCTCTTCTGTCGTGTTTAGGGAACGAACGCTATAATTGCCGCGTATGGTCGGAAAATCAACAAAACAGTGAAAATTCTGGTTCACGCATGCGCAGATTGTTTTTTCGCTCGTTGAGATGAGATGAGATTCCTCCCTGGCGACCTAAGATTTCAATACGGAGGGGAGGGGGGGGGGGGGTTTTAAAAACAAAAAAACATTCAGCTTATCATTAGTTGTACATCTAGCATTGACCTCACTACCTTAGCAGCATTGTCTCTCATCTGAATAATGTTCTCTGCGAGTCCCTTTAAGCAAGATAGGGTAACAAATATCAAATTTAGAATGCAAGGAAAACGTCCTTTTACATAAATATATATTAAGTTTTTGTCGTAGGGGGCCCGGACCCCCAATTAATCTTCCTCCTTTTGGGGAATTTCTCTGTCACATCCCTGTCATTCTAGGTGATTTCCAGGCCATCGGATCAATTCTAACTGGCATCCCTGATTAACCAGTTGACTACTGAATTATCTTATTTCCATTGGCTTAACACAGGGACCCCCAGGTTCCAGTAAGCAATGGGTTAACTAATGTTGCATCGACCCTATTCACACGTATATTCTTGTACGACCCTATTCACATTTATATTCTTGTACGTTTCTATCACAGGGAAAGTCTGATCTCCATGCCATCCAGATCATCAAGAAGCTAGGTGGGAACATGAATGATTCGTACCTGGACGAAGGCTTCCTATTGGACAAGAAGGTTGGTGTGAACCAACCCAAGAGGATAGAGAACGCTCGCATCCTGGTCGCTAACACTCCCATGGATACAGATAAGATTAAGGTTAGTGAAAGGACTCATCGTAGGTTGGCAGAGGCAATAGAAGGGACAGATTATCAGAGTGCTGGTACTGTGAAAACCCCTTGCAAACTTTTGTGGATCATTTTTCTTTGATTTGGCGTTGTGACTTTAGATATATTTTAAATTAAGGAGACTATTAAAGATGAAGTTGAGTTCTGGTCATGCGATTGCATTGTGAAAGAAACGGTGTGGAACTGACCAGAAAAGGTTGATCATCTAGCATATAAGAATTTGTGTGTATTGCAAGGTTCTGGAATCATCAAAATGATAAGAAATTTGGCCAAGTCTTGGTAAAGTTACAAACACTTGCACAGAAAGATGTATATGGGACTACACGAACATGTGGCGTAAAAAGCCGCCCCCCCCCCCTTCCGATTTTTACGATGTTACATGCATATTTAGAATATGAAGGCATTTGAAGAACCATGCTTTTCAGGGAACATGTCTTAACTGATGTTCTTCCACACTTGCATAATAAGAATGAGTAATGCTCACAAATTATTTTTCACCTCTTCCCAGAACTCAACCTTCTCTTTAATGTTACAGAATTGAAGAATAGCTTTGAATAAAGAGATATGAATTTCAAAGCCTTTTGTTTTGCTGTCAGAGTAAAAATATTAACAAATAAAGTTAAATATGCAAAATGGGAACATGTTTATGGACAAGTGTGCGCATGTAAAAATGACGCCTGGCTGGAATGCTCCCCAGGGAGTGGAGAATGTGCATACATTGTGTGCGGGTAAGCCTGAATCCAATGACCGGGGTAATAATATACTTATCTGTAAAGCGCTTTGTGAGGGCCTCCGGTCCTGAAAAACGCTATATAAGAACGAGCTATTATTATTATTATTAATAAGGTACGCGGTTGCTCAGAAGCTCAGTTTGTCAGGCGTCATTTTATCATTCATATTTAGGATAAAGATAATATGCCATTCTTGTAGAGCGCATATCACATTATGATATTACGTCTCTATGTGCTTCCAAACGAGTTGCTCAGTGTAGCAAGGAATGAATCCTACCTGCCAGGTATCCACTTACTTCAACTTGGTCTGGTGTGGCAACAGTAGATTAATGTCTTATTGCTGCAGCGGGATTCGAACCCTGGACCTTGTGATTTCACAGTCCGGAGACTTATCCACTAGACCACAATACCTTGTAGTGGAATCAAATAGATGAGATACTATGAATATCATCATCATAATGATTTTTGCAAGACAGAAAGCTATTCATTTCAGCAATAGTAATTGATTACACCACTTCTAAAACTTTGTCAGATTATTAAAGCCTTGCTTTCTTTTTACAGGTGTTTGGTTCCAGAGTGAGGGTAGATTCAACGGCTAAGATTGCTGAACTTGAGCTGGCTGAGAAGGAGAAGATGAAGGAAAAGGTGGATAAGATCCTCAAACACGATATCAATGTCTTCATTAACAGGTATGTAATTCACTTTCTTTTTAATTACTAATCCAGGTTGTTTTATATTTAATGTTGTATTTTTTCCAGGAAGAAGACAGAGCATCAGTGCCTCATGTAATGAATATTTTGTAATTTCGGATTTGTAAAACTGGAAACATTGTTAAACAATGCCTTTAAAGAATTTTGATGTATTGTGACACAAATTCATTTACATATTTCAGACCCTTGTAGGCAGCTGATCTTATACTGGAGTGTTGGCTCAGTCAGTAGAGCATCCGCCTCACAACCGGGAGGTCGTGGGTTCGAACCCCGGCCGCGTCATACCAAAAGACGTTAAAAGATGGGAGTTGTTGCTACCTTGTTTGGCTTTCAACAATAAGGGATAGAGCAACGTCGATCTGGCGCTGCTCAGTGGCTGCCGGGCTCACGATCAATTGGGCAAAAGAATTTCCGTTTCGGTTTAATAAAATTTGGAGTGGACTATTAGGCTATTATTATTATTATTATTATTATTATTATTATTATTATTATTATTAAATTGACAACCAGATAGAGGAAGAAGAAAATACATGATAATCTTGTCAAAAAACTGAATTTCCTTGAAAGGTCATTTCCAACATTTTTAAGAGAGATATTCTATAACTACAAAAAATTATTGGAGTGAAAAGTTGTGTGGGTTGCCAATATTTTGTGATATGATGAACTAATTTACAGCAGTAAGCTTCAAGAGTCTGAATCACTCACAAATTTGTTTTTCGCTTTTTGTTGTGTCAGAGTGCATTGTTTCACATTGTGCATGATTCAGACATATCATAAGCTTTCAAAGAAGTTTTTTAAAGAACATATTAATTATGTAGATGAGATTTCAACTCCCTATTTCTGACCCTTGTAGGCAGCTGATCTATAACTACCCCGAGCAGTTGTTCGCTGACCAGGGAGTGATGGCCATCGAGCATGCCGACTTTGAGGGCGTAGAGCGTCTAGCCTTGGTGACCGGTGGAGAGATCGTCTCCACCTTTGACCGCCCCGACCTGGTCAAGCTGGGCCGCTGTAACCTCATCGAGGAAATCATGATTGGTCAGTGAATTGATTTTGTTGTGATGATTTATTTTATTATCTATTTCACTTCATGACTTTAGTCCAAATAAACATAAAAGTGACCAAGTGGTCAAGCTGGGCCGCTGTAACCTCATCGAGGAAATCATGATTGGTCAGTGAATTGATTTTGTTGTGATGATTTATTTTATTATCTATTTCACTTCATGACTTTAGTCTCAATCAACATAAAAGTGACTTGTGAGTATACTTCTCGACTCATTGCAATGATTGTCTTTTGATCATAGTAAATCACCAACACAAAAGCTTGGCTGTTGAGAATGTTGTATGAAATCAGAAGCAAAAGCAACCAGGATATCAAAAGGAATAGCAGTAAAACAAATTAATGTAGCTCATTTTCATGAATGTCTTAAAGCCTATCTGCTAGTTTGGCCAGGAGGGATTGGACCTTCCTACATGGTCACTGACAGGTGGTTATCTCATCAAATCAGCTCTCAATTAACATAAGAAAAAAGAGACCATGGGGGACCAACGGTCACCGATTAGGCATTGTTTGCTATATAGAGGGAGCAAGTAGTTACAAGTAGTACAGTGGGACTTTAATATTGTCTGTTTGTAAAGTTTAGCCATCGAAAATGAATGCTGACTTTTGACTTCGTTCCTTTAGGTGAGGACAAGCTGATCAAGTTTTCGGGTGTGGCTCTGGGCGAGGCCTGCACCGTCGTCCTGAGGGGCGCTACCCAGCAGATCCTGGATGAGGTAGAACGCTCTCTACATGACGCCCTCTGTGTCCTATCACAGACAGTCAAGACTAGACGCACAGTACCAGGAGGAGGTAGGCTTTAAGTTTGTGCTGCTCTTAAGTTAGTAATGTATAAATAGTCCCCCTGCGACAACAAGGAGGGAAGCTGTATTGAAATATTTAGGGCTTGTATACATGGCCCCCTTGTGAAAACAGGGAGGGAAAGGGGGGGGGGGGAGAAGGGCTGTACTGAAATACTTTGGGTTTGTATACAAATTCAAATTCAATTCAAATTCAAACTTTATTGATTTCAATCCAAACAAATAGGTCCCCTTGTGAAAACAAGGAGAGGAGGGGGGGGGGGGGGGGGGGGGGGGCTGTATTGAAATCTTTAGGATACATGGCCCCACTGTGAAAACAAGGTGTCCATAATTAAATTGTGGGGGTTCATGTGTACCACACATCAGCTAGTGTCAACCCTTGCCAAACCCTATGGAATAAACCTCAAAGCAAGTGAAGTGTCTGTTGGCTGATAAAATATTTGCAAGACATCAATCTACATTTGCCACACTCAACCCAGGGGGGTGTTTCACAAAGGTTCGAAGTCAAAATTAACTCTAAGTTGGACTTAAATATTATGGAGAGCCATTTATAGCCTTATTTTGAATTATTATATTCAAAAGCAACAATTCAAGTATTTTAGACTTTTCATAAATTCCACATCAAGAACATCAAATCTCCCATTATAATAGAAAATATGAATGATTTGAATCAACATGTTATGCCTTTTAAAATAACTTTATCAAAATAGTTTCAAGGATGCTAATGGCTTTCCATAATTGTAAAGTCCAACTTAGAGATAAGTTCAACTTAGGATCTTTGTGAAACACCCCCAGGTGATGTAAATGGGTACCTGGCAGGAATTAATTCCTTGAAATGCTAGAGTGACGTAATAATAATAATAGCTCACATTTATAATGCGCCTGATACTACGTAATGGCAGCACAGCTAAAGCCGGGTAATAATCTCCAAGTTTGGAAGCGCTAGAGACTTGATTATAATTCGCACTATGTAAAAGCTGAGTATTATCATCATTATTATATGTCTATGCTGTGTCTTATCCTTCTTTGTAACTAGGTGCCTCTGAGATGCTGATGGCCAATGCTGTATGTGAGCTAGCAGCCAGGACTCCAGGCAAGGAAGCCGTCGCTATTGAGGCTTTCGCCAGGGCTCTTAGACAGGTAAGATAACACCAGGGCCTTACAAAGAGTTTATTATATTGCCCTTTAGGTTCTAAAACATGGGTTGGTCGATCAGAAATCTTTTTTTTTTTTTTTAATTTTTTTAAAAATCTCCCTCTTGATTTCAAGATTTTGGGGTCAGTCGCAAAGGACAATACAACACCTTTTTTTGTAGGTCTTAATATCAATCACAACTTTGTACATAAGAGATAATGGACTCCAGGCAAAGAAGCCGTCGCTATCGAGGCTTTCGCCAGGGCTCTAAGACAGGTAGGATAACTCTCTCTCTCTAAGTGCCATATCGATTGACTTTTGCGATCATGCTGCACCAATCCCAGTTCTTTCACTCCTCTCTTGTCCAAGAATTTCTGCAGACTGTCTATCCAAAGTATCCTTCTTCCCTTACTCCTCCTTCCCATAATTTTCCGTGTTAAAGCAAGATTCTCTAGGCCTTCTTTACATGTAATGTGACCCATGAACTTCAACTGCCTAACACCTGGGGGGCGTTTCACAGAAATTGCCATCAGTGACAAATGACAGTTTTTCGTTATAAGCTAGCGAAATTCTTGCTTCCGATTGGTTATCAGCAGATTTCTCACTGATTTTTGTCATTTGTCATTGAAAAAAGGCTTTGTGAAACAGGTTCTAGGGCCTTATAAAGAGTTGACATTGATTGATATCAATTGCAACTATGTACATAAGAGAAAGGGGACTGCCAACTTGCGATTGATTGGAAGACTTGCGATTGATTGGAAGACTTGCGATTGATTGGAAGACTTGCGATTGATTGGAAGACTTGCGATTGATTTGGAAGACTTGCGATTGATTGGAAGACTTGCGATTGATTTGGAAGACTTGCGATTGATTGGAAGACTTGCGATTGATTGGAAGACTTGCGATTGATTGGAAGACTTGCGATTGATTGGAAGACTTGCGATTGATTGGAAGACTTGCAATTGATTTGGATCAATTGCAACTCTTTATGAGATAGGGCTCAGATCAACAGTATTTTCTTTTTATGCCTCCGTTACGAAGTAGCCGGAGGCAGTATGTTTTTCGGGTTGTCCGTCCGTCCGTCCGTCCGTCCGTACGTCCGTACGTCCCGTTCTCGTGATCGCATTATCTGAAGAACCGATTGATGGATTCCTGCCAAACTTTGGTCATGTATGTATCTTGCAGAGCCGATGAACTTATTAGATTTTGGGGTCATGAGGTCAAAGGTCAAAGGTCACAGGGCTCATTATGTATGCAAAAACAGCTCGTGATCGCGTTATCTCAAGAACCGATTGATGGATTCCTGCCAAACTTAGGTCATGTATGTATCTTGCAGAGACGATGAACTTATTAGATTTTGGGGTCACGAGGTCAAAGGTCAAAGGTCACAGGGCTCATTATGTATGCAAAAACAGCTCGTGATCGCGTTATCTGAAGAACCGATTGATGGATTCCTGCTAAACTTAGGTCATGTATGTATCTTGCAGAGCCGATGAACTGATTAGATTTTTGGGGTCATGAGGTCAAGGTCAAAGGTCATGCGGCTCATTATGCATGCAAAAATAGCTTGTGATCGCATTATCATTAGAACAGATTGATGGATTCCTCCCAAACTAAGATCATGTATGTATCTTGCAGAGCCAATGAACTGAGTAGATTCTTGGGTCATGAGGTCAAAGGTCAAAGGTCATGGGCTCATTATGTATGCAAAAATAGCTTGTGAACGCATTCTCATTAGAACTGACAGATGGATTACTATTTAACTCGGGACATCTTGCAGAGCCAATGAACTGAGTAGATGTTAGGGTCATGTGGTCAAAGATCAAAGGGTCATATATGTATATGAGAAATTGCTTGTAATCACGATATTCTGAGAACCTGTTAATGGATTACAATTGAACTTGAATTTGAACAATTTCTTCTGTTTTGGTTTGTAAAATTGCTCTATGACAGAGGCATCATTTCGACTGCGCGCAGTCGAAGTTCCATCTAGTTACTCAAGTTTCCAAATTCTGAAACAAATTAAATAAAAAACCTTTTTTGTACATACTAAACCACGGCCTGTCTTCTCAAAACTATGTTCTCTTTCATGTCGATGAAAAGGACAAATTGAAATTGCACAAAACAGACATGTACAGGTCTTCTCACATACATCTTTCATAACTGTAGATATACATAGCCAGCTTTGTATAGAATATTACTAGTGACTTGTGCCGATTTAAAATTGTAAGAATTTTGTTGTATCGGTATCTGGAAAGTGGAAAACCTGATCTAATCTCCATATGTCATTATGCCTCTGTTTTTTTTAGGCATTATTTCAGATATGAAAATGCGAAAGGAGTGGGCTGAAACTTGCTTTCAAAAATTTATATCTTTCAACATTAGAATTAGTAGATTTCACCTGGGTATGAGTAAATCTACTTTTCGTAAAATCAACATTAAAGATAAACTTGAGTACTGGTAATGCGATTGCATTGTGAAAGAAAAGGTGTGGAATGGATCAGAAAAGTTGATCATATAGCATGTAAGTAATGGTGTGTAATGCAAGGTTCTAGAGTCATCAAAATCATCATAAATTTGGCAGAGTCTTGGTAAAGTAACAATCACTTACACAGATAGATGTATATGGGACAACACACATGGTGTCGGGGCTAGTACTACCCTGATTTCCTTATCTTTCTATGCTCATTACTCAGCCAGTATACATTTTCTTCCAAAATTGTTTGGCACATGACATTTATTTGTAATCTTGAACATTCAGTGTAAGTTTCGTTAGATTCTGTGAGAATTCATTTTCTTTTTTTACCAGAACTCAAGTTTATCTTTAATCTCCTCTGTCTTATGACAAAAAAAAAACCTTTATAAGAGGAGAATATGCTCATCACTGGCATCACAATTTTTTGGGGTTGATAAATCCCTTACAAATGTCCAGGGGAGTGTTTCACAAGACTAAGATCAACTTTAAGTTGGGCTTAACTATGGCAGGCCGTTTTTGCCACTGTTTGCTCTCACCATTTCCTGGCATTGGTCTCTCAAGGGACATACAAATCATGGCCACAAATCTACAGAATTTACTTTTTTTTGATAGTTCATTATTGAAGTAAAAAATATTATCTAAAGATCATAATGGTGAGAGCAACCAGTGGCATGAATGTCTTGCCATAGTTAAAGCAGGACTGCACTACTTGTAGCTACTTGCGCCCTCTATGTAGCAAACAATGCCTAAGCGGTGCCTGTTGGTCCCCCACAATCCCCCTTTTCTTGAGTTAATTGAGAGCTGATTTGAGGAGATAACCACCTGTCAGTGACCTTGCAGGGAGGTTTAATCCCTCCTGGCAAACTTAAATTTCAAATTAAAGTCTATCTTGGTCTTTGTGAAACACTCCCCAGGTCAATGAGAATGTTGTTTGTTATTTATATTTGTACGTTTTGTCTCTCTCTCCTAGCTCCCAACCATCATCGCTGATAACGCTGGATACGATTCAGCTGAACTCGTCTCTCAGCTCAGAGCAGCTCACACTGCGGGAAACTACAAGATGGGATTGAGTAAGTCTCATCTATTTCACTTTCAGTCAGATTGCATTTTAAGTCTTGCCTTGAAATACCTGCATGTAAACACCTCAAAGCGGCTATCGATGCAGTCACTGCAGTATTTACCTTTCATTTTACTATGCTGTTCTTTGAACCAGCCTACAGAAAGTAAAAAGTTGTGCAGAAGTGACATACAGAAAAGAACCAACATAGACATGCATATATGGGACTGAAGATAAAACTAACTTGCTTTTATACGCATTGACCTATTACAGATATGAATGAGGGTACGATAGGCAATGCCATGTAGCCCAGAGGGCTTGAGGTTCGTGCTGTTCTTTGAACCACCTACAGAAAGAAAGTTTGCAGAAGTGGCATACAGACAAGAACCAACATAGATATGAATATACGGGACTGAGGATAAAACTAACAGCTACTATTCACATTGACCTATTACAGATATGATTGAGGGTACGATAGGTAATACCATGGAGCTAGGAGTACTGGAGTCGTTCCAGGTGAAACGTCAGGTGGTCCTCAGTGCTTCGGAGGCTGCTGAGATGATCCTACGTGTTGATAACATCATCAAGGCTGCACCCAGGTAAGATCATGGGTTTTTTTAAGCCCCACTGCACTACTTATAGTTACTTGCACCCTCTATATTTCAAACAATGCCTAAACGGTACGTTGATCCCCCATGGTCCCCTTTTTTTTCTTATGTTAATTGAGAGCTGATTTGATCAGATATCCACCTGTCAGTAACCAAGTAGGGGGGGGGGGTGTCTAATCCCTCCTGGCCAAACTAGTGCAGACAGGCTTTAAAGGATGGTGAAACTTCATAACTGCCAACTATCCTATTTTGGGGCCTTCGAGCTATTGTTTTGAACACTAGATTTCTCTCTTTTTCTAAAGTATTCTGTGTGAGAAGTATACAAAATGAACTGTATTTCTAATTTTGCCTTGAGAGATTTCTAATTTTTGCTGTGAAAGGTTGGCAGGTATGAAAATATTATAAATTATTATTATTGTTAATTTTGCGTGCTCTGAAGACACTGAATATTGCCCTTTTAGTCAGGAAAATTCCTGCTTTCCTCTATAGATATTCAAATAAAGTGGGGAAAAATGTCCTTGTTGTGACATTGTTTCACAACCCTTGTGAATTTCATTAATGTTGCTCCTTCCTTGTTTGAGGCAACTCTTCATTTCCAAAGGGAACCCCCTCCCCCCAAAAAACAACCTCATTCAAGGTAAAATATCCCCTTTAATCTTGATAGTGATGAAGAGAGTTGGAGCATGATGTTGACCACATGTTATCTCTTTCTCATCATCTCTACTCCAGCCATTTTAATCACATGTTTTGCCAACTGCTCCAAAGCAGAATTAATGACGTGGGTGCACTCATTTGTTGTGAACCCCAAGGCTACTTTACTCTGAATATATTATTATCGTATTGACAGTATGTTTATCATTAGTACTGTACCAGGTTCAGTTCGGTAGATATGTGGATAATTGAACGATTGAAAGCTGATAGCGCATCGTTAAAGGAATTGCATAGAACACAATTTGTTGACTTGTTGAGGGTTTTTAGCTGCCTGGGCAGTTTCTTGTTTCTTATTGTCATTTAACTAACCTGAAGCATGTCTATTTCATGTCTATTCAGGTCATTGAATTTCTAGAATTTCCTTTCCTTCATTTCGTTCAAGATTTAGGATTAGAGGTAGATCGTGATTAGGTTTTATCTTGAGTTTAGCGTTAGATGTGTTTGGTCCAGTGTTAAACTTAAACATTTTATTCTTGTAGGAAATCAAAAGCAGAGCAATAGTCGATAGTTTCAAAATTCTATCAAGGAAACAGAAAAATGGGCCAACTTTATAGACAGGTTTATTATACATTTTTTCCAAGGAAATAGACAGGTGGCTATTACAGAAAAGTTGCCACTAAGGCAGGTGTTTCTCTACGTTTGAAATGCTTTTTTTTATAGATCTGTGACAGAGGTTTATAATCTCATTTATGTTGTTTTTCTCTTCCCTTTTATCCATCTACCTATCTTTCTTTCAATCTTCTCTCTCTCTTCTTCTTTATCCATCTTGTTATCTTTCTTTCACTCTTCTCCCTCTCTCTTTCTCTCAATCTTCCCTTCCTCTCTCTCTCTTTCTTTCAATCTTCCCTCTCTTTCCATCTTTGACCTTTGACCTCCCAGGCAACGAGGCGACCCAGGTCATTGAGAGATGCAGATCTGATGTACATACTACCTACCGTAGGAGCTGACTTGTAACTTGTGAATGTACGATGCAACTATAGCAGCGATACCCTTTAGAGTAATGATAGAATACCGTTTGACAAACGGATTCTATCTCCCCTTATTTGAATGTCATGGGGCATTTCCTCAATCGTTATTCCAACGACACTGTATTACTTATTTCCCATGAAAAAATGTTGCCATGTTGGCTAATTCTCCAATTCTTACAGTGGAACATTGTTACATGTAAACCATCTTCTTTAGACAAAGGAAGGTACCTTGATATACACAATTTTGTTACATGTACAGTTAACATCTAAATTATTCATACCCCTTGTAAATTTGATGTTTTGTGTGTTTTTCATATTTCAAGAATGAAAGGCGGATTGGTTGAATGTAGGCCTTTGTTACATACTTTTAGATGTAAGCTTTGTTATTTCACATTCTCGAGAAATATAAATTGGGGACAAATCGATTTTTTACCTAGGCCTACTTAAAAAATTTAAAACCTTGGTAAGGGTATGAATAATCTAGTTGTTACCTGTATGCTGGGGCTTACAAACTGTGTAGTGGAAAGATGTGGGCCCTGGAACGTAAACAAGTTACAATCAGTCATATCTACTTCAATAAGCAGTAAATTAGGATTGCTACCATGTTACAGGTTGTACAATGCAGTAAGATTAGAGAATATTATTTGTATGATTGATTGTATGGAAGTCATTTTTTATGTTACAGGGCTCTAGTTACATCGAGAGTCTGTTAGGTTTTTTGTAAAGCAATGTTCAACTGTGTGTATTTATGTTTTGAAGAAAAGTGGAGCAATGCATTGTTATTGTGGTACGTTTCTCACATTTCACCCGAATTGGTGCATACGACAAACAAGAAAACAAGCGTGAATATGAGACTGCCCTAGGTGTTCTGTAATAGATAGTGATCGCAATGAAATGTCAAGGCTATTCATTCCGTGAAACTTAGCCTGATTACCTGGTGTGAACTATACATGGATTTCCCAGGCATCGGTGGAAATCGATCAGATTAAAAATGCTCTAGCCTCTTCCAACTCATTCTAATGAACCCGGGGAAGGATGTCAACAGCCATTTATCGTCTCTCATAGTAGACATATTTAGAGCCAATACTACCCTTGCGCAAATTAGCCATGTCGTCGCTGTTTTCACGAAGTGACGGTAGTGAAAAAAAAACTGCATTCACTTTGCGTGACGATTTTCCTCACTACCGTCACTTTGTGAAAACAAGGACGATGTGGTTCAAATATCATCATAGCATGTTATAATAACATAAGGTTAATCTTTTAGTTTTTGTATTGGAAATGCAATTAAAGACTGGCCTAAATTCATTCTGAATCTAAATAAAATCTCAAGATGTTTTTACTCCAATTGAAAGAAGTAAAAAAAAGAGAAGTTAATAGGAAATTCCCTGAATATATTGCTTGATGTATGTGCAAGAAGTTAACTTAAATACAGTTATGTCATGGTGTAGAGTTTTTTTGAGTGAGACAGTGTGAGATTTTTTTTTCTTTCTTTTGTACTATTTTATAAGTGTGAGGCAAGGCATGAAAACATTAAATGTGAATGTGATGAAGAAACAAATCTGTAAGTGTGATTTTGTACAGGTGTTTGTTTTACTGATAAGGAAACTGTTGAAGCTCTTTTTAAATCATAAAGCCTTGACAATACTGAACACCAAAGCCACTCTATACACAGAGTTTGACCTACCTGGTTCGAGTTGGACACAATATGGTGACTACTGCTTTTTGGGGCAGCACAGAACAAAAGAATATATGCCATGTTGTGACCCAGTGAAACCAAGTTGGCCAAACTCTGTGTTTAGATGGCTCTGCTTAACACACATGGCAACAGCCCTCAAGTCAGACAGCCAATGAGAACGATGGTCCACAGACCGACGTATCAGTCTCGTAAACCTGTCCAGTTTTCTGCGGATTCATGGGCCTCATGTGGTGTTGGTCTACAAGGTGTCCCAGACACCAGACACCCTCTCTCTCTCGATTGACTTTGGCGATCATGCTGTTCCACAACCCTCAGCTCCTAGCCTTCTCTATTAACACCACTCCCAGCTCTTTCACTCCTCTCTCTTCTAACAATTTTTGCAGTCTGTCCATCTAAAGTATCCTTCTTCCTCTACTCCTCCTTCCCACAATTTTCCCTGTCAAAGCAAGATTCTCTAGGCCTTCTTTACGTGTAATGTGACCCATGAACTTCAACTGCCTAATCAACATCTCGCATATCATTTTTCTTTGCACTCCTGCTCTTCTAAGAACTTTCTCATTACTAACTACGTCAGTTCAAGAGATTTTCATCATCAATTCCAGACACTAACACTAACACTTCATAATGAATGATGAACAAAATCATGGATACCATATTTCATATAGAATGAATGAGTGATGCACCCATTTATTAATATCAACATACAAATATGAACACCAGGAACACATATCCTGAAAATGTTATCATATTCCGGCAATTGCACAATTCATATACATTACAAATTGCAATGATACAAATACATCTCATGAACAAATAAATAATACACTATCGAAGGAAAAATACTGTGCAGCATAGTGAGGATATATATATATATTTAAATGCACAAAAAGGGACACGTGGGACTACAAGATACTGAATGAGCACTTGCCACCAAACGGTGAACTAATTTGGTCAGTAATCAAATGCATAAAAAGGGACATGTGGGACTACAAGATACTGAATGAGCACTTTTTGTATAGTGAACTAATTTGGTCAATAATGACAAGCAATTGGTCTTAATTTGCATTCAAATAATAACTTTCACAATAAGATTGGCCCATTTGGATATAAAAAATATACATGAAGTTCATTATCTTGGTTAAGGAGCATATATGTAATAAACAGAAATACAACAATTCTCGCACTGTAAGAACTACAGATTAATTTGACTAACGCAATGGACCTGCCGAATTGTGTCGATAGTATTTCATCAATTTGAACAATTATTCCCCCATAAGATACAGTAAGACCGTCGAGCGACCGAACCCTCTCGAGTTACCCGTACTTGCATTTCAAATCCTTTGGAAAAAATTGAAATCATAAAATTTGTCCGAAGATCTACTTGAAAGAATGCCGTGCAACCATTTCATGACATACAACAAATGAAGACTACTCCAACAACAGAATAGCCTGGTACATCTATTTCTATTCAGTGGACGAAATAACGAAAACAAAATATAAACAAAATAATACTGAATGTGTGATTCTCTCGCTTTCTAGCATTAAAAACTGCCAACTTCGTAATCCTGATTTCTCACAGCCTGACACAGCCAAGTCAAGACTTTCTCTGAAAAAGAAAAGTAACCAATCAATAATCAATATTTAAAGCCCAACTGCACTACTTCAAGCTATTTGCGCCCTCTATACAGCCAACAATGCCTAAGCGGTACCCGTTGATCCCCCATGATGCCCTTTTTCTTATGTTAATTGAGAGCTGATTTGATGAGATGACCACCCGTCAGTGACAATGCAGGGTGGTCTAATCCCACCTGACCAAACTAGTGCAGACAGGCTTTAAGATTTGTTCAGATATGACGCAGCAAAACCGAGGCATTTTCTAAAATCATGATGTCAAGTGTTACACACGTCACATTTCTGTATCTCCTTATAACACAGAGCTCGGTGAATGCATGCAAGTCCTTTGCTGCTCGCAGTTGCCAATTTGCCATTTATTTACACGTTAAAAAGTTGAGGTGGCTTTTTTTGTGGCGGTTCACCACGCCATATCTGAACAAGCCTTTATACGGTACTCTTTCTCCCAAAGAGGATGCATTTCAAATCCTCCTTTCAAAAATACTACAATTTAATACAGATAAGGCTTTTCATTTATAATATAAACCATTTCCTTCCTAAGCGTACCCCATATAAATATATTATATACATGTATAAAAAATAGTGCTTAAAGATAAACTTTAGTACTGGTAATGCGATTGCATTGTGAAAGAAAAGGTGTGGAAAGGATCAGAAACAGTTGATCATGTAGCATGTAAGTATTGGTGTGCACTGCAAGGTTCTGGAGTCATCAAAATCATAATAAATTTGACCGAGTCTTGGTAAAGTAACAAGCACTCACATAGAAAGCTATATATGGGACAACACACATGGTGTCGGGGGCTAGTACTACCTTGATTTCCTTGTCTTTCTATGCTCATTACTCAGCCAGTATACATTTTCTTCCAAAATTGTTTGGCACATGTTATTTATTTGTAATCTTGAACATTCAGTGTAAGTTTCATTTGATTCTGTGAGAATTTTTTTTTTTTTTTTTACCAGTACTGGAGTTTATCTTTAACACAGATTATATGTACATAATTATTATTATTTTTTTTTTAAATACAAAATTGTGGAGACGGTGAAACCAATTTCCAATAAATGATGATAAGTGCCTTCATGTGCAATTACACAATATTTTAAAAATATTTCACAAAATTATATCAAAGACACCTTACACGATGTGAATGTATAGTGAAAAACAATGAATTCACCAATGAAAGATTTAGAGGATAGGTTTACAAAGTAGACATATATTTACAAATATCTTTTTAGCAAGATGATCATCTCATCCTTAAACTGTCTATGAATTCAATGCCAGATTGTCTTTCAAAACCATACCATAGGTCATGCCATTTCATCCTTAAACTATCTATGAATTCAATGCCAGATTGTCTTCTAAAAAAGTCCCATAGGTCTATCCATTTCAGCCTTAAACTATCTATGAATTCAATGCCAGATTGTCTTTCAAAAACATACCATAGGTTACGCCTTGAATGGGCGGGCGCAGGGCCCAAATTTGCGCTTGTAAAGTCACCAATTGTGCCTTGAAGACATCTAGAACTAGACGGCAAGGCACAATTGTCTGTCGTGATGGTAGGCACGTTCATGCGGCACTAGATAGAGCTGTTGCACACATACCGAAATCTAATTGCCCTTTTCGCACGCAAGTGCTCCCGATTCATTGCATTGACTCTTGAATGACCAAATGGCTTGAAGGATCGAGAAAACAAACTGGAAAATGGAGAAATAAACTGGCATTTGTATAGTCATTACAGATCTATCAAACAAGTTCCTCTAAGGTCACCATGATGTGTGTACATGTAAGCACATAATTTCTCCTATCAGAAATTTAGTGTGGTTCTCCGGCAATACAACATCAGTATTCACACAAAAGTGGAACATATAGATTTAATCCTGAAAAACGAAAAAGCCTATATATAACATACTCATAATCTCTGATGATCAACCTTAGCTCGATGAAACAAAATCAGTTGATCCTCTCCTTTAAGAATGTCATTGGTTGGTGAACTGCCAGTGTGTTTGCCAATTGGTTCCTTCGAGTTCCTTAAGAAGGCTTCCTGACGTTCCAGGGACGTCCATCTGGCTCAAGGTAGCCATGTCAACTGGCATGATTTGTTGACTCAGCTGCTGTTGCTGTTGCTGGTGTTGTTGCTGATGTTGTTGCTGCTGCTGCTGTCGTTGGTGTTGCTGCTGCATGTCGAGGGACGGTTGGTAGCTCAAGACATTAGTACCGCTGGATCCTGGAAGGTGACTTGTCACATCGGTCACGTTTATCCCGCTGACCTCCACGCCCCGGACACATGGAACACCTACAGATACAATGCCGCTGACACCGGCTCCTATGCCGCTGACACCCGGTCCTACGCCTACACCTGGTCCTATTCCGCTGACACCAGCCCCTAAGCTGACACCTCCGACACCGACACCTGCTCCTACACCGCTGACACCTGGTCCTACGACTACACCTGTTCCGCCAATGCCAGTGCTGGTGTTCCCACCTAAGAGCATCTGCATATGGCTCATTCCCGTCCCCATGAAGCGCATCTTGGCTGGTCTAGGCATCAGGTCGCTATCGTTACCGGCTGGTGGTGCCATTGGTGTCTCTTGAGTCTGTTGCTGGTGCTGCTGTTTCGTCATCATCAGCTTGGAGGACATGTTGAATTTACCAAGCTGGGGAGGGGCGGACGCCGCCTGGGAACTCGGAACCGATCCCAAGATGCCTGTCACAAGAACAAACAAGTTCAAAGATTATTCATCAGAAGTGGAAGAAACTACATTTACACCTGACTACCTTAAATCTCCTTGTATTAGGCGCACTTTTTCCCCACCGAAAAAAATTGGAAGTCGGGGGTGCGTCTTATACACAAGTAAAAATATATAAATAAATAAATAAATAAATAAATTAAAAAAAATTAAAACAAAATTAAAGTGCCCCCCTCCACCTGTACTGTGCCTGGCAATTTCTTCCCGCTCAGTCATACAACTTGTGTTGACTCACCACTCATACCAATACAGTCACAGTAAGATACTGTAGGAAGTTATTGAAGTGGCACAGTAAAACTGTACTAGATTATATAATCTGTAATCCAGGATACAAAATTGCAACAGTAATGTACTCTCACTATTTGTCATCTGGGTCATAGTGATGGCACAGAATCAAATAGGATCGAACTACAACAACACTACCTGTATGGCCAGATTTCTGTTTGGACTTAGAGGAAAATTTGTCTGTCATCTTTAGTTTTAAAAATGACGTTGTTACTATTATTTTTTTTTTTGCCCCCAAAATAGGGGTGCGTCTTATACACAGAGATTTACAGTAACTGTCTTAAGATCACATTTTCATTTCCCTTGAAATAATATTTCTCATTAAAACCTGTACTAAAAAGGAAATGATACATGAAGACTATCTGTCTCCCTTAAGCCATCTTCTTAATATGTTCCACTGAATTTAGCATATAAAAACAGATAACAAGTTGTCCAATGAAGGTGTAATTCATAATGACGTTGGATCAATCCTTGAATGTCTCTGATTGAAAGTCAATGTGAAAGCAACTTGGCCTTTTTCAGGAAAAAAATGGACATGCTTGTATGACACACCACGATTTCAAATTTTAATATTGGGAAGGCCATTAGGGGCCTCCATTTATGCATACCCCCAATTTTCACATTTTAGCAATATCTTTCAAAGATCTGGGCCCGTTGCATAAAACTTACAATTGATGGTAGCTTTGGCATCGATGGCAACTACCATGGTAACAGGGCTCAACAGCCAATGAAAATCAAGGTTTCCATGGTAGTTACCATTGATGCCAAAGTTACCATCAATGGTAAGTTTTGTGCAACGGGCCCAGATTGTGGTCCAACTTTACACCGAGTTCTAACACAACATACCTGGTCCACCGCGCCGTGACAGGTTGTTGTAGACCTTCCTCATCCGCTCAATGTTCCGATGAGACGCCTCCGCATGGTCAACTATTGGTAGAGGATAGTCCTTGCCTGAGTGATGAAAAATTGGCCCGCACAAGAAACATCGTAAAAATATAGATTCTAATCAAGACATTTCAAGAGGAAGCACAGTGATTGCACAGAATGAACTAGAAAGGGTGAGGATTGAGAATAGAGGGGGGTCTCTATTCTTTTGAAGTTTTCTGGTGTACATCTTTCCCAGGCTGAATCAGTCATGACTTCTACCGTACCTCATTTCGATAATGTAACGAGCCACAGCCTGTCTTCTGGGTGCTTCCATTCAACAAAGAGGGGGGTGTTTAGGGTATCTGAAAATGCCTGTATTATTTCTGATACTATCCAAACTCAAATTTGAGGTTCTCTCAAAGTGGCAGTCTGAACAGGATTCTATTAAAGTTAAGGAGCCTGTTTCGACTGCCACTCCCAGAGTAAGAGACCATCTAAAGCATGTCTCTGATCAGTGAAAATTGCTTTCAAGATTCACCCCTATATACAGAATGGATTGTTCCAGAAGACAGTAATGTGGCCACCTCCATTATGGCAAATGGGGGAGGCAAGTCAACTTGCATAGGAAATATCTACATCAGCCTCTAACCCCCATCTTCCTGATGATGTCTGTACCTTTGCTCAAAACTAGCTCAAACTCAATTTGTGGGATTAAATCAGATTAGCATTAGTTAATCCTTATATCAATTAATGAAATTCAATATCTTTGTAACAATGTTAACAGAAAAGGTTTTATCATGATAGGTTTTATTATGGACTCTATAAAAAGAATCTCAAATTTGGACAAGGTGTGTTAGTTGATAAAAAGGATTATGATTTCAGTCTTAAAAAGTGGTATTTTGGGGAGTTTAAAGATCAGCATGGAGATTAGAGAGTACCTATGAATTGCTCCAACCAACTAAAAATGTTGCTAGAAATATTCTGAAAACTTGGACTTAAAATGAGAAGCATTTCAAGATTTAATGCCAAAGAGATGAGCATGGGTTTTTAAAAGTACACTTCTATTCTTTTCTTGTTAATTCATGTTGTTGTTTAAGCTACTCAGTCAGTATTCATGCACTGAAATTGGGTTCTATAGCTACATGAGTGGTCATTACATGGTAATCTGGCACACATCAACTAACTAACATGTATCTCAAATAGTCATCTATGCTAGCCTACAGAAACAAAACTATACACCAATACATGAACATGTACCTCAGAGGTATGCATGTACATGTATCAGGTGATTGGTCATGTGATATCTCTACTTGTCAGGTGACAGCAGCAGATCGATTGAGCCAATTACAGACATCATCACAGTGGGGGTTAGATCATCAATACTTGTCAGTGCAACGCAAATTTTACCAGAATTCCAGCGCTCTGTATCAGTTACCAATACATAGGGCAGGCCAAATTTGGCAACACTGACATGCCAATAAAAGAATTCCAATAATGGAATTGCAAAAAAGATAAAGATATTGGATGGAAAGTGGAAAAAAAAGAAGTCAACGCTTTTGCGAACTTATTACAAAATGAGCATTCTTAAGACTGCTCATATAGATACTGTGAAGTAGTATGGATTTTACTACAACTTAAAGTGTATGTGCAGTACAGTGCTATTATAAAAATAATAGTAATAAAATATAACTGACATGCATTAAAGCTAAAGAAATTCTGAGAAAAATATCTCAATTAAATTACAGAAAGAAAAAAACTATTGACGATGAAAAGAAAAGAAAATAGAGAAAGATTTTACAGGAATATCACAAAAAGAGACGAGACAAAGTTCTTATCTTACGCTACACATAGAAGTATACCTCATTTCCTTGTCTTAAGGAGACGATGAGGCATACGTTTACATTACCCGAGAAACTACAGACTTATTTTAATCGGCAGCTTATCGCAAAACAGCGTGTTAAGATAGTCGGCAAATCCAGTTGATCTGTCCCCCGCTTGGTGATGGGTGTTGTAGGTGCGCTTTCGCCCAGACTCAACGACGACGAAAGCAACTTTTCATACAAAGTGCGGGAGGTTTTAACGACTTTCCTGCGAAAGAAGGGCTCAAGACCGATAGGTTTTAGAGATGTGAAGAGTTAGTAAGATGAGGGCGATATATCAAAAGGTTCATTACTGGATGAGTGCTAGAGAGGCGTTCAGTCTCTTCGACCGTTACGTCTTTCTAACTCTCATCCAATCATGATGGAAGGAAACTTACTAACTCGTTTGAAATATCAAACATGCTTTCTGGCATTGGGACATGTCCAGAAGAGTCTTCATTTATGCATGTTATTGTCCGTCGCAAATGTACCCAGTATAATATTAGGCAAGTATCATGGACAATCATCAATCATCATTAGTATTGTAAGGGGCTGGGGCTAAATATAAATTAGCAATGCTTTTCAAGAGTGTCCACATTTTCTGGAAGACATCTAAATTGACAAAGAACTCCCCCGTTTGGCAAAGAGATTGTTTCAGTATCCTAATCATTTAGTTTCAAAATTGGGGAAAGTGAATCTGGAGTACGGAGAGTTTGTTATACTGCCAAAACACTACTGCCAAAATCAGAGACGCAATTTGAAAGCATACCCAATCCAAGATTATACCCATTTTGGTCGACTTAAATTTGGATGAATGAGATGATGATGATGATGCCCATTTTACCCAATATTTTCAAGGATGTACGTGTTCTGGACAATCCCATGCAAAGATGAAAAGCCCTACAAGGCATGAGAAAGCAAGGCTGACTCTTCAAAGGACGTTAGTTACTTAATATTCATAAATCATATGAAAATAAGGAATTATTGACATTACATAAGAATGCTGAACATTGGAAATTCAGTAATATTTTACACACTACAAACAAACAGTTATAATCTCACATCAATCCATTTTCAAAGCTTATTTCAAAGCTTATTTCAAAACGAGAAATTATGATAAACAGAATCTTTCCCTAAAATGAATTTGTGAATTTCAAAACACAGGAACTTTCTAAATTTGTCTTCCCACCATACTCAGTATCCACAAATACCATCATTACTATCAATCAATCAATTTATGGCTTTATTTAGGAATCTTTCTAGCTTTTATTTGCCTATCTATCTTAATATGTTTTCAGCTATCTTTCTACCTATTAATAGGTAAGATGAAATGGAGTCACAATTTACCTATCCGATCATCTATCTATCTATCTATTTATCAATCTATCTTTACATATATATCTATCTATCTATCCATTCTACGTCTACTCACCTATGATACACTTAGCTTTCTCCTGCACCTCAATGGGGGCTGTCCAGGGTTCAAAGATGTACTTGGAGGGGAAGTTCTTGAGAAATGGTAGATATTTCCTGCAAATACAAAGACAAAATAGGAATTCTCAAATGATTACCAATGTTCTGGAGATATTACCTTCAAGTTAGTGGGATATCACCCTGAAGAATGCTACATCCACGGACAAGTTTGAGAAACTTCAGAAGGCCACTTGTTTTGTTAGAGATCATGCATCTACTGATATTGGCTCTATTTTTTTTTTTTTTAATTAACCATCCACCCCTTGAGTAGGTGGCCCTTTTCTTAGACATGTTTGATCATGTGTTTCCCAAATGTTTCATGCAGAAAAGACGAACAACAAACAAACTGCAGTGGATTGCTTCATACCTGACATAGTCTCCGTTAGGGTCTGTCCGTCTGCCGAACTTGACAGGACAGTAGCAGTGGAAGAACTGTTGATAGAAGGAGCTGCAGGATAACCAGATCCAGTTCCCAGCATTGACGCTCCAATCAGCATCCAGGAGATACTCATCAAACACCTGGTGGAGATGGAAGAATAAAGGAGAAAACACGATTAAGAGGTCGCCCCTATTAAAGCCCAACTGTACAACTTGTAGCTACTTGCTTCCACTATATAGAAAACAATGACTAATCGGTGCCTGTTGGTCCCTCATGATCCTCTTTTTCTTATGTTAATTGAGAGCTGATTTGATGAGATAACCACCTGTCAGTGACCTTGCAGGGAGGTCTAACCCCCCTAAAGAACCTTTCTACGATTAAGACTTTGGTATCCCTCATCAATATCATACAGGGACATGACAAATAGCTTAGTATCTATATGAATATACTCTACTGCGCTTAATACAGATTATCATATTACCATCCTGGCTGTAGCTGAGCTGCCATGATGAGACGCTAAAGCATTCTAAGAGTTTCTTCCTACTGGGTACCTATTTGATTCACCTGGGTGGAGAGTGGCAAAAGTAGATAAATGTCTTGCCAAAGGACATTATTGCAGAACTCCCAAAGGTTCTCCCCTCCCCCTTCAAATGTGATAGCCGTTCACTTTTTTTTCTTCTGCTTGTTAAAACATAACCTGAACTTGCCCCTTTCCCCTGCCCCTTTCCCCACTTCTTGACCAATCCTTCGGTCAAGATGACCAGAATACTAACCTTCATTCCCTCCTCCCAGCTGATCCAGAGGTCACCCCTGGTCAAGAAGCAAGCAACGGCATGCCTGGCCAGCGGATGGATCCAGCCTTCTAGACGTAGCTGTGTCATGATTGCATCGATCCAAGGATATCCAGTCTCACCCTGTAATATTGAGAGAGACAGATTCATTAATATGGCTTCAATGAAGGAAGATAAATGTTCAATTAATTTTTTTTAACGACCTTACTGTGAGATATTTTTCTCTAATATCTTGTATTGCTTCGTTAGTTAAAGAGTAGGAGAGTCCATCTTTACTGTTTAATGATGGTATCATCATGCAGACTGTGAAAACAATAACATCCTTTCATACAAAATACCACCACGTTCCCACGACATGTTGGTGGAATTTATTTTTGACAGCAAGACTTTCCACTGCTCGCACCTAGAACAGTCATTTTCTGTCTATATTTTTGTGATGTTCTCGTCGAAAGGAAGGCGAGCAATGACGTTTTTGACAAATTTGCCCACTCTAAGTGCCATATCGCTTGACTTTGGCGATCATGCTGTTCCACAACCCTCAGCTCCTAGCCATCTCTATTAGCACCACTCCCAGTTCTTTCATTCCTCTCTCTTCCAACAATTTTCTGCAGACTGTCCATCCAAAGTTTCCTCCTTCTTCCCCTACTCCTCCTTCCCACAATTTTCCCTGTCAAAGCAAGATTCTCTCGAGAGGGGTAAGACCACCAAATAACTCTATCGTCAACTTACATTTGCCCATTTGTTGAGGAGAGCAGTATTCTTGTCCCAGGGTATCTGTATGCAGATAGGGTTGTCCACCATGTGATCAAACTGCCTGTTATTGCAGGCCACCGTGAAGAAGAACTCCCGCCACAGGAGCTGGCCGTGGAGTGAAAGGGGCGTGTTGGTCGTCTTGCGAACCTGAAGAACATAAGAAAATTTGATATATAATCCTTGTTAGAAAAGAAATGTAGCAACTATATCACCATCTATTTACTTTTCAGAGGTACATGTAGCCTTACCTGCCAATTTTCTACAAAAAATATGCTGAAAGCATGAAATAGTCATGCTACGAAGAGGTTATCATGAACACATACATCATACATGCCAACATTTGAAAATCAGAAATCTGTACAAATTATGCTATTTTCAAAAAAAAGAGGAACAATCCTAACTCTCCTATTCAATACTACAGACAAATTTGTACAGGAAGAGGAACACCTGCATTAAAATGATAATTATCTTCTCCCAAAAAGAGGAATGTTCGTCTTTAATCTGAACAGTTGGCATGTATGCATACATGTACCTTCATCACAATTCTGTTTCCTACATGTACACTACTGCGAAAGAACGTAAACCAATACAAATTTTTGTTCATAATGCAAAAAAGGAAAAAAAAATGAGATAACTGACAATTTCTCATATTGTGTGGGTCAGTTTACCGCTTTTCAGGTTTGGATAGAATTCATTATGATTGTATCTCAAAAGATTAAAATCATCACTTTGTCTAACATGTCATAACAGTGGAAAAATCGTCATACAAACATCAAAACACTGATTTCAAAGCCTGTCAGTAGTGCACTTTTCTTGTGACCTAAAACTTCTCACACCCACACGATTCTAATCAAGAGTGCCAATATTCACTATTTCTTTTTTTATTTCTGGATCCAAAATTGAGACCAGGCTGCGTGTATGAATCATTACTAAGATAAGATCGTCATACAGCATATTGTTAAAATTTGCTAGCACAGAACAAAGCAGCAATTTTACATGTACATGATAATGATCGAGACCTCCCAAAATAGAGACAAAAAGCGTGGAACAATGCGAATGATAAGATCGCTGTAGAGAATTACGAACAAGCCATTAATTTGTACCTCCCTTGAGAGACCAATGCCAGTAAATGGTGAGAGCAAACAGTGGCATGAACGGCCTGCCATAGTTGAGACCAACTTAACGTCGATCTTAAGTCTTTGTGAAACACTCTCATGAAGTGATTTGAATTGAACTTAATCTCATCAGAAACATCATAACAGACCCGTTCTTACCTTTTGATAGAGTTCTGTGAGTTTCCAGTAGAAAGTTCTTGGAGAGAGGCAGCCAAAACGGAGGTAGGGACTGAGGCCGGCAGGGCTTGCCATCAGTGAGGCTGGGGACATCCGTGGCCTCTCAAAATTGGCAACCCAGGCCTGAGCAACGAGGAAAGAAAAATGGCGTATGAGTTAGGTTTTTCATCAATGAAAATTTAATTATGTTCAAGTTTACGTCCAATATCATTAGTCAGGACTCTACACAAATCTTTTTCACATGGGAGGGGGGAGGGGGGGGTGCAACTTGTAAGCATAGCCCCCTCCTAAGATTTGGAATTGGGAGTCCAAAATAAAAATTGGACCGAATTACTTTAGACTTAAACAAATATGAGAGAATTAGAGAGAGAAGAGAGGGGGGTCCAGATATATCCACACAGAGAGGCATGTACATGTATGGAGAAAGAGAGAGGCAGAGGGATCGAGGCAGAAGAGAAAGAGAGAGAGAGAGAGAGAGATAGAGAACTACAGATTACCGGTCATCACCCTGGAAGAGCTAGGAATAACATTAATATTCATAAATCCTACATCTTACCCAAAGCCATCAACGATTCTTTTCATGAATAAAATATGAGATCACAGCCATCAGAAAAACAACTAGAGAGCTATATTTTGGTTTCTTATCGAGGACTGATCTAAAATTAATTGAAAATCCACCACAATCTGATGAGGGTGAATAATTCATAGGCATTTACTTTCCTACAGGCAATTTATTCCCTTTAATAATAATAATACACAATATTTATGAGGTGCTTAATACTGGTGTCTCTAAGCGCACCATATTCTGACTAAACAATTATTTATCAAAACTTATAATAAACACACAACTTATACATCTGTTCTTTATTCAATAAATCATGCATATATAATAATAAAAAATAAGATAAGAGTGAGATCAAACATACATACAAGAGGTCAAACATAGGATCAAACATAAGATTGAACAAACAAAAAAATAAGACGGTGTGCACCTCCTTTGACCAACTCACAACTGCAGAATATTGGTAGGATATGTTTGTCAAAACTCAACATTAGAAATTTATGTACTGTACATGTACATGTACAACAATTAAAATGAAACATATCCCAGGTAATCTGTCATATCAGCAAAATTAAGTGCACAATTATAGTATCAAAGTAATTTAATTTCAAACTGTGAACAAATAAAAAAAACTATATTAAAACTTTACACTATATCACAGCAATTCCTCCCTTTTTTTGTCTTTTACTGTACGTCTTCCCTTGCTTAATTCCTTTTAATAATAAAAATAGGCATTTGTATTACGCCATCTATCTAGAACTTTTTTTCTGAATCGCAGGAGGAAAATGTTGTTAAAAAAGAGACCGCATAAATTCCACTTTCTCATGTCAAGCATTGCTAAATAAAGAGGTAGGATTTCATCTTGGACTTGAAACTCTCTAATAATATTGTAGTTTTCAACTCAAAAGGTAATTTGTTCTACAGAAAGGGCGCTGCAGCCCTCTTGGGATCTGAAGAAGATGTCGTTCTAATGATTTTAAAATAAGGGAAGGTATAATTAGATCGGGAAGGTAGCTTGCTGCGAATCCTTTTACAAATTTCTGTGACAGGAAAAGAATCTGAGTTGTTATGAAACAGGGAAAGCCCTCTTACCGGAGGCAATTCTTGTTATTTGAATCGGCAGAAGATGTTGATTGTGATGATCTTATATATTATGAGAGGGTGTTTTAGAAGCCATAATTAGTATGCTATGCTTAAATGTTAAAGAGTAGGGAAAGCCCTTTTGCAGCAAGCAATTCTTGATATCTTCTTCTTTAGATCTACAGAAGAACTGATGTGATGATCTTAAATTACAATAGGATGTAATATAAGCTATAATTAGTATGCGTTGCTGCCTTGGGCACCTTTTTGTTTTTAAAACGCTCCCTCAATTGATTGTCAAATGGGATTATGTTTTGCCAAGGCTATTGACCATGTTCATGCATACTTTAATAGTTTTTTATATCCCCATCTGATCTGCCTGAGGATAAACATTGACAATCTTTTTGTCTCACCTTCCTTTTTAGATGA